AAGGCCTGAACTACAAAACATAGCGACATGTAACACATCATGCAAGTGCCAGTTTATATCAAGTCGCTTATACATGTTTGAAAGTGATATATGAAGATATTGCCGAATATATTCAAATCAAACCATGCATCAAATTTATGCATTTCAACAAAAGGAAAACATGCGACATATTCAGCATTATTATTTACATTGTAAATACGGGAAGAGATTTTCCGAATTTTGCAAGCTCGTACTATATTAAGATTTATTAAACAATTACCTAACTAAAAATCTATATACCAACGGTGGGCGAACGTGGCTCTTTGAGCCAAATGCGGCTCTTTGCTTAGCACAGTGCGGCTCTTTTTACTTTCTCCTTGCTTAGAATATTTTTCTTCTTTTTACTTCTTAAAATACATATTTCATACGTATTACACATATTTGCCAACAAGAAAACAGCTGATCAAGAAGAGCTGGTTGGAATTTACGCAAATCCCTAAATTGAATTTGATGGTTTGGAAGTTGAAATAGTAAAATGCGACTAATTAAACTTGTAAGAAATAAGTAATTATTCGTTTAGTCAGTGAACTGTGTCAGGATAAGAATTCAGGATTTGTTTTCTTACGTTTTCAATTTTATACTTTTTACAGAGCTATTCTGCGCTGGTAACATACATTTTATAACCGGTAATTAAAGTGTCTGTCAATTTTTAAACCTTTTTCGCATTCTGTGCGCTCTTGTAACCGTACCTAGAATCGCGGTGACAAGAAGTGGTAACATTTTTTGTAATAAAATTTTCCGGTCAAAAAATCTTCGGTAACGTACAGAATAGACCTGTTAATGTAAACAAAATTTCTATCAGGTGTTCGTCTCACTTGCAAGTTTCTGCAAATTTTCTGTTCGCGTACTATTTTGGATATTTTTCTCTTGTGAGAGAACAGATGATATTTTTTACTGGAGATTTTAAACGAACTATTGACTATCCAACACTTAACAGAATTGTTACGAACAGCTTTAACTGACCTAAAACCATTTTGAAAATCTCGCCAAGGGGATCTTTTGAACTTTCTTTTATATCTATCTTACGTACAATAGAATAATAATAAAATTAATGTTTTTCATTTCTAATAATAATTTTATTTAAAAATAAAATTTTAGTTTTTCTTGTTCTTTTTTTGTGGCTCTATGTAGCATTTAGAACTTAGATGTGGCTCTTTTCGGCCTCGGCCTTGCCCACCCCTGCTATATATATTTTAATACGAGGCGGGATTAAACAGTATTAAAAACAGTATCGTGCTGAATGTAAAATCTCAGCTGTCAGTAATATTCAAATCAAAACAAAAGCGAACGGAAAATTAAATAAATAAAAACTTGCATTTTTAAAATTGAAGAAGATAATGGACCCAATGAGTGGAAATATTATTATATTACGATTTCGGCGTAGAAAAAGGTGAGGAAGTGTGTTGTATTTAGTTTATATATATATGAACACATGTTTATATGTACTAACATTTCTTATATTTAAGGCGGACTATGGTGGTAGAAAGAAGGAATCTGCGAGATGTGCAAAATCCATTCGAGATAAGCGGGAAACGTTTATAGAACTATATAGACTTCCAAAATCTATACTCAACGATACCCTAGCCAAGCTGTTACCGCTTTTCCGGGGCTCGATACGAAACACTGCTATTCCTGTACATATGAAAATGCTGACCGCTTTGAGATTTTTTGCCACAGGAAGCTATCAACGCGCCATAGGACAAGACTTTTTGTCCTGTTTATCGCAAACGACTGTCAGTCGATGTGTTGAGGAAGTAACCTCCGTTCTTAATACTGTTCAAACTGCTTACGTGCGATTTCCAAATGAGACGGAGGAATTAGCGGTAAAGGCGGAGTTCTATCAAAAATATGGTTTTCCCGGTGTAATTGGATTAATGGATGGAAGTCACATCAAGATTATATCACCTAAAGGAAATTTGGAAAGTGCATAATACTGCCGAAAAGGTTTATTTTGTTGCTTTCAATTTTAAAAGTAAATCTAAATCAATAACAAACATCTGCAGGTGGTCATTCAGTCAATTTATTACCTATTTGTGACTCGAGATATCAAATCTGCTATGCCTATGCGAAGTTTCCAGGTACGTCACATGATGCATACGTGCTGCGGCATTCGGCAATTCAAAGCTGTCTCAAAGAGAAGTATGCAAGGGGTCATCGTAATTTTTGGTTGCTAGGAGATAGTGGATTTCCCCTCCAACCATGGTTAATGACCCCAATCCTTCATCCAGCAAACGAAGCAGAAGAAAAATATAATGTTGCTCATAAGAAGACACGTTGTATAGTTGAGCGCTGCATAGGAGTTTTAAAAGGTCGTTTCGATGTATATCTCGTCAGAGGTATTTGTGCAATAAACCAGAGAAGGCTGGGAAAGTAATAGACGCTTGTATTGTGCTCCACAATATTCTAGTAAAAGCCAATGTTCCAGTAACTGAGACCATCCATCCATCCATCCAAAGAAAATATATTAATGTCACAAAATGCATTACAAACAAACAAATAAAACAGACTTATTTCAATTAGATTATCTTAAAATAAATTCACAGCATTAAGACTTAATATGTATACCTAAATATATACATTAAGACATAAATTCATAAAAGAACAATACATGAACATAACTTAAAAAAATTCAATTAAAAAATAAACATTAACCTAGTTTTGTTTTTTCCATTCAAATTCCGTTTCTTTTAATTGCATTTTTCTAATTCGAAATCTAATTGCTTATTTCTATAAATTCCTTCGGCTCTAAACTTTTCTACATTGAGTTTTTGCTTATCTTTTTTAAATTTAAATTCTCCATTATTTTAACTTTTTTTTCCTCTACAATCAGGAACTTTTCTTCAAATCCTGCCATTGCTTTTGATTTTCTTTTGTTGGAGTTTGAAGTGGAAGGCCGCACATCGATGTCTTGGACTTCTTCTATTCCATTCGTTTGCTGTTGGGATCGCTTCCGATGTCATTGAGAGGTCGGCCAGTATTTCTTCTTCGGTGCGCTAAAATTAAAGAGTGGGATGCCATTTTTTTATACTATTTTCAATTTAATAAATATATAAATTCAATAATTCAAGTAATCAATAGTAATTCAATTTGATAAATATATAAATCAATTTAATAAATATATAAATGCAATCAATTTAATAAATATAAATATGCAAAACTATGTAATTTGCTGTATGAACTTACTTCGGTTACGGTAAGCAACTCGCCCACATTTTCTTCCCCACTAACAAGAACCGGCGACGTTAGTACCCTTCTCTCAAAATCGGATGCTTCTTTTTTCCTCGCCAAACCATTTACCCCACTTTTGCCAAGTTCGGCTTTTCTAAGCACTTCTCTATCCTTTACGTGGCTTCTATAAAAAATGCGCATTTAATGCGTATGTTCGTAATATAATTTACATAATTTTGATCCGACCAATATTTTTTTCCACTACGAGGCATTTTTAACTGCTCCTATACCGTTAAGAGCTTTTGCCAGCTCCTCCCACTTCTTGCCCTTCAAATGGGCACCACCAACTGACTCAAATCTACAGCAGATGAAATTCAATTGTGATATGTAAATTTTGCTTTTATTTGGATAACTGAAAATAAATATATCACGCCTATCATTGGCGAAATCAAGCTTATTTTCCATAAATTCTATTAAGTAATTTTTTTGATCTGCAGACGCTTTTTTTTGCTTTCGAATCCATGTTATTTCCTTTTAAACTCACACTCAAATACGAAAACTCACCGAATAAAATACTGTGAGTTTGTTTGAAGCGAAATGTACACAATTTTGACAGTTAAAACTCATTCTCACACCAGCTGAATCGCAAAGCGCCAGTGTACACAATTTTCAGTGTACACTTGAAAACTCACAGTTACAGAGTCCAGCCCCTGAGGTCTATTGGTACATAACGTTGCGTGTGTTTAGAAAGTCAAAGACTTGGATTGCATGGTCAGTATGCGTTAATCCAATAAATTTTTTTATAGTATCGAAGTAAGCTTAAAAACTAAGCAGGAGGGTACAATTTTTTTTCGTGGGACAGTCGACGCTGTTTAATGTATTTGTGGACAATGCCGGTAAACTAATAGCACTTGTTGACATATGTTCGGAGACTTCTAAAAGAGCGTGACAATTTTATTAGGGTGCATTCACACAAAAAGCCGAGCGGTGCCGCGCGTCGTTAACACTGAACGAAGCGAAGCGGAGCTTTTTTCATGGACTCGGCTGCAAAGATACCATAAAATTTCCCGTCACTGAAAAGCGGCACAAAAATATTTGCAAAATTTTTTTCAAAAGATTAGTTCTAAGATTCGTTTTAATTTGAATATTTCGATATCTTTTATGCAGAAGCGTCATTAAGCTGAAAATTAAATAAAATATTCAAAATCATAAACTGCTTTGCTTTCAGCTACAAAACGCTTCCAAAAAAGCTTGCTGTATGAACACTTTCATAAAGCTACAGCAAATTGAAAACTTCACTCAGCCCGCTTTCTGTGTGGACGTACCCTTAGTTTTTAAGTTCTTTACTGGAGAACCTTGCATTATGAAACGCTTTCTGAAGAAATACGGACTAATGATTCCACCAACCTACAAAAAACGCAAAATCGCTAGTGAATATTTTATATGCATGTGACGGTAGCTCGAGAGCTTTCTCCATTGCATATCCACTAAAATTGAAACACAAATCCAATTTTGCCGGCTTCGAATCTTGAACGTGTTAGATTTTGTAGGCATTTAAATCAAGATCTTTGCCTAAAGATGCGCCAAGTAGACCGATCCGATAAACCCAAATATAGTAAAAATGAGGTTGGCAAATTAGGAAATTTTTTAATGCCAATCTACAGTAAATACTCCATTATAAACAGAACCAAAATATTTTTCCAAAATTTTAATTTAGATTATTTTTTCTTTTTTCAAAGTTGAGAGCTTGTGGAATAAAGTATTCACTAAGTAATAATAGATCTTTAAAGTTGTTGTAACTTTTTTTATTTATGCGGCGAGTCATTTTTTTTGTAACATTATCTCTATTTTATTATACTTAAACTGTTGTACTTATTCCTACTGCAACCAGCTGCATGTCTTTGATTGACAGCCATACTGGTAATACAAAATCTTAGATTTTTCGTTATTTACTGCCTGGAAAAAGAAACAACAGTTTACATGGAGAACTTAACTCAGTGGATACGACTACTAGCTTTGAACGCCGGACTTGTTGTTTCAAGTCCCAGTAAACTCTATGAAGAAGTCTGATTAGGGGGGTGATCTCCGAAATATCAGCTATAACTTCTACCAAAATGTAAATTTTCATTAATAACTTCCTCAAGTTCAATACGAAAATTATTCAATATACATTTTCAGGTAAGTTTGTTAAAGATATGTATCATCAAATCAAGCACATATATTAAATTTTGGTATATAAAACCGATGTTTTTAGTTTCCAGTTCTATTGGAAGTAGGCGTGTCCTTCATCCGATTTTGCTCAAATTTAAAATTTTTCTTAATATATTTCATTGATTACGACAACTCTTACTTTTGGCCCCTCACTATATGGGCACGTTACACTGCGCAACGTTTTCAGTCTTCAACTACACTCTTCAATACGGCCGTTATATAATCGTCACTGGTTGAAGTGCAGAGCTTCGTAAAGTAGGTTCCGTAGAAAAGTCACCGGGGTTAAGCGAAATTAATTTTGGTATGAATAAGCACGGCGCTTCTATAAACAGCTTGACCGCAATTATCTATTTTCAAGTATACATATGTATGCATGCAGTCGTAGTTGGTATGATTGCCGTTAGAGATGGGCACGGGCCGGGCTTTTGGGCCGCGGGTACGGGCCGGAGTATTTGCTGTCAGCACGAACATTTCATAAAAGCACGAATAAGCACGAAAAAGCCCGTTGCTAATACTACAACTAGAAAAGCTTTTGTTTTTATACAAAAAAAAAATGTACGTATTAAAAATCTTTTGATAAGAGATAAGCAAAAAAAGAAATATTTGGAAACCGATAGATAAAATAAGATACTTAGTAGTTTTGTTTACATATCTGTACATAAAATACCTCCCATATCTTCTACTTCCCAGAAAATATATGTATTATAAAAATCTTTGATGTGAAAAATTGATTCGCTCAAGTAAATATACATATGTACATAAACACAAAATTAAAAATATGTACATATATATACATACAATAAAAGTTGGCTCTTTATTTCCGGGCATGTCCCGTCGTGCCGGGCCGGGTCCTACTAAAATTCTTAACGTGCGGGCTCGTGCGTGTTTTTGAAAGTTGATTTTGCACTCGTGCCGGTCCGGGCCTGAAAATTTAGGCCCGTGCCCATCTCTAATTGCCGTACTTAGTGCCATACCTACATAAGAGCCTTGAGCTTGCGCTTGACAGCTTGTTTTTTTTCTAACCGGTATGTGTTATTGGCAGCTGTGGCCAAAGGGTTATATACAACTTTCTACAAGGAACGCGATAAATTGCCAAATGAAATGTGAAATGTCATAACTGTGCACTTGGTAAATCACATGAAATCTTTGTCAGATTATTGAAGCACACATTTGAATCTGTATCTCTGAAAGAGTTTTGGGTTTGTGTTAAGAGTAAATATCATGAAGTCGCTTCCTTCTGTCAAAACGTACTCTGTCAACAGGGTTTTCAGCTTACACTTATACAAAAAACAAATTCAGGTCGAAATTGAATGCTGCCCCAGAAATGCGCATACAACTTTCAGACATTATATCGAACTACTATTTTATACAATAACTAGCAGACCCGGCGAACTTCGTCCCGCCCAAAATTAATTTTTTGTATTGAAATATTTTGGTCCAACATTTTCACCAACGTTGACGTTCATAATTTTCAGTGGTGTTTACAATAGGGCTGCCAGACGTCCCGGTTTTGCCGGACATGTCCCGGTTTTAGACTATGTGTCCCGGGGTCCCGGTCCGACCTTAAAATGTACCGGGTTTCGTTTGAGTTTCCACATTTTAATTGCAGAAATTTGAATAAAAGATCAAAAATGACTACCAGTGCCATTTGCGAAATAGTTACATCTCCACATAATTGAACTTTGCACAAGCAATATTTGATGATCGATATACCCACAATACATACCTTTAAGCGCCAAGTGCCCTTCCTGATGCCCTTTAGCCCTTTTTGCTCGTTTGTTATTTGTGCATGGTTTACTTCCAATGTAAGTTTTCGCGACAAAGTTTATAGAATATAAAAATGTGTGTTTATAGTGTTTTAATTACCCCAAGGAAAGTACGAAAGAGAAAGTATAAATTCCTTCCCGCTTTCACAGAATAGTTGTCATTTGTATATATTTTTGATAAAAGAGAGCCTCACTGAGTTGTCCATCACAACTTGTTGAATACATCTTGGACATACCTAGTCATTAATCTAACATAGATACATTTTTTCTCTTATTTCATCTTAATGGACTAAGGAAAGAAATTCGCTCAAAATACAAAAGTTCATACGCTAAAAATTACGTGTACAGAGTTTTACAATTATATTAATTAAAAGTCAGAAGTTTTCAAACAAATTCACAGCGAAGAAAAATTTTACTGATTTTTTAATGTTATCTTGTACTTACATTTTTTTTCATGAAACCTAGTGTATTTATAAGTACAGTGCCGTACAAAATTATTAGCTCAGGGAATTTTTCATCTGATCTTTTAAAAAATGTAGCTTTTTAGCAAATTAATAAAGCAGTTTTGTTTTTGCTAACAGTGTATTCCAAACAAAAAGAACTGTAGAACATAGTTTGTATGGAAGAAACTGTCAGTAAAAAAATTATCAAAAATTAACTAAAATTCTGGGCTACAAAACTTAATTTTCAAAATTTTGTTGTTGTTTTTGTTGTTGAGTTAGATTTATCAAATTGTCCCGGTTTGGCAACGGACATATCAGGCAGCCCTAGTTTACAACCTATTATCATACCTACCGAATATACACAAACAATTTCATTTAAATCGGTCAAGCCGTTTCAGAGGAGTT